TTTTTATACTTTTGCGGAATTTTTAATACTTATTGTTTTTAACTGAACTAATAAAATAATATTTAAATATATTTTAAATCCTCTTTTTATAATCGTTGTATATTAATTGTTTGTTATAGGCATTTGGGAGGTGCATGCGAATGATCTGGCAGAACTAAAGTTAAAGGTAGCCTATGTTACTGTTTATAGGTCAAATCATCAATAGAAATTATTAGTAATTCGATTAAAATTTAAGAAGATTATAAACTAAAGTTTTTATACCTTTTTTATTATAACATCACACGAATATTTTCGATCGGATTAATATTTGCTAAAATATTCAAACAAGGCACAAACTGTTCGTTCCAGAGAAATATTTTAGAAAACATGTTATTTTGCTTATAGTACTTTAAAATACGTGGGACACTTTTCTAAATTGAAACAGAAAGCACAGTTTTCATCTCGTAATTGAATGTCAATACAGTTTACCTCCAATAGATGCAAACGCTTTTTCTTTTTTATTTATTCATACTAACAGCAATGTTCGCCCATTACAAATTAATTTTTATTGCTCATAAAATACGACATATTTTAAGTTACTCAAAATTCTACAAACTAAAGCAGAAAAAATATAGGGTTTTTTTTATCGAAAGATTAATAAAATGTTAAAGGACCATTCATATCATCCAAACGTTTGTAGATATTGATGATACAGTTGAAGCATACATGTTTTAAAATTATTGGCCTTCTTTTAATTGAACAAATCGTTAACTGGAAAGAACAAATTTTTTAAATTCAGACAAAGTGCAGACTAAAACTAGTTATATACCACTTAAGTCTATATGTTAATGACTTTATAAGGTAACGTTTCCTAAAATTTAGTACAAAGTTTTAAACTACTAAGAACCTACAAACTAGGTATGTCTATATTACAGTCTCTGCATAAGAACATAGTCGGAATTTTACTGTAGACATTATATACCTAATAAAAATTAATGGAACAGGTGAAAGAAGTCTTTTCCACATCGCTGATCACTTTAGATCAGAATAGATAAGAGAGTTCATTCCCCTAAGACAATGCTGGTTTGAAATTGTGACATTATTATCTATGTAAAAATCTATAGCATATGCACAAGCGGTATTAATTTATGAACCGACTCCAAAAAAGATGTATATTCTCAACTCGACCATATAATATTGTATGCTGATACGTAAATCTTTATATTACTGATTTTAATGATAATTTTGTTTTGAATGAAACCAGCATCTAATAACGATATCTTCAAAAAATATAGGAGAACCTTCTATACCTAATAATAGCAAAATTGAGTTTTACCTGCAAAAATATTTGTAGGTACTCTCAATTGATGAATCCTTAATATGAGAGTATTGCTTAATCTTCATGTTATTGTCTGAGAAAGTCCAATCAACTGATCCATTCTACTGGAACTTCTTTAAGCGCCTTTGTGTCCTATAGTTAATTATGTATCTTAATGATTCCGATTGCTGTTTATCAAATTGTTTGGACGGTCGCCTAGTATTCAAACTAAAGGAGATGAGCACGGACTTGAGCGAATTCATTTTACTATGGCTTACTATATCTTGAAACAAACAGAACCAATCGTAATGTTTTCATCGGATTAGTTACGTATAGAGCATTGAAAAAACGCGATAACGAAGATATCTTTGGCTTTCACTAGTGAATCTTTTTGATATTTAATTTCGTATATCTAACAATTAATTTAGTAATAAGATCTAGGGCTTTCGTGAGTATTCATCCATAGTATGAATACTAATACCGCGCGTGTTTAATTATTGTAAAAACTGTTAACTACATATTCCCTATGTTTCGGTTACCTTTCAGCAACTTTGATCACGGGCAGACGAGCTGTGAATGTCTGACATTGTAGTTTTTACAATAATAAAACAAACACAGTATAATCCGAAAAATAGTAATTTCATTTAAATTAATTTAATAGACCTAATACACACATTTTAGGTGTTGTCATAACAAAGTTACTTAACATATTTAACTTATCTTAGAATGGTTTAATACACTATTATAAATGTACGTACTCTATTTAAAATAACATGTATTTACAACAGTAACGTAATGAATTAGAAGAAAACCTAAAATCTGTTAATTATACGAGAATAATCACAATGAATGGAATCAAAAACACTTCAGTAAACCAATATGAGAACGTAGAGACTACAGAACGTATTCATTTTAAATACCTTTTAATGATTAGGTACTTCAGTTGTTACAAATATTTAACAACTCTACCTTGCTTACTTTGAATAACTAAAACAAATTATGTATTATTTTGTGAAATTTAATTTATTTTTACGTTTTAGTCTATCCATTTCAATATGTTGCAAATTATTGTATCGAATACATGAATCGATGCCTACAAATATAATGACACTAAGTTAATTTAATTAATATCCTCATAAATTTATCTGATAAAAGTAGGTACATACAGTTTATTTTGACTTTAACTTTTGGTATTATGAGTAAGAATCCTTCCTAAAAATATTAAATAGTTTTATTGATAACAACTGCTTCATTGACTGACAATGTTTTTGAGACAAGAACAAAAAAATGTATTTTCATATATACAATTCTACGTATGTGTGTCATTGAACTCCTCATAAACGGTTGGAACGATTTGAATGATTTTTTTTTATTCGTTTTTTGTATGCGTTAAACCCCGAAAAGAACATTAAGATTCACGAAATATGAGCCTGGCAATGCACAAATACCGGTAAGAGAATCAGTATCTAGGTTATATAAAATGAAAAGGTTGCAACGTAGGTTATTTTATGAGTTATGAATTGCTTTAACACATGTTGTATATTTCTCTCCGAGCTCAATTCTGATGTTCACGTGGATGGAGTCGCGGGCAAAAAGTAGTGTAATGTAATTATGTATAAGTCATTATACGTCAAAGTTGCTAAAATTGTTAGACTTTTGTAAAGCTATTAGCTGCATGTTATCACAGCCGCAGTTGCTTCCTGCTTAGTTCAGTTTCTGGGTCAGTTCGTATGTATATGTGAACTATTGGGTAATTATATTATATTAGGTAGTTACTAGTATAATATTTTTATACCTTTTTCATCACTACGTCTCCATATCATTTTCTTCAAGCAAAATTCTTGGTCCTTCAAGCATCTATAAATAAAGATTAAAGTAAGTAAAGATTAAATAAATGAATGAACCGAGATACATTAAATAATTTAGTGTAATATATAACACATAAAAATGTTTTTCTTTATGTCCAAAGGGGCAAACGAGCGAAAGGTCTAACTAATGGTGAGTATTCACAGTTGTTCATGGACATCAAAAACATACCCTTTATTACGGATGCGTTGTCTGTCTTGTTTGTGAAGTAGTTATAAGCCACCTAACAACGTGTTACTATTTTACATAACCGCCACCTAATGATAGAACCTAGCAACTGTAATGGAGAATATGAACATGTTTTTGATGAAGTAACTTCAGGCAATGCCCAAAGATGGCGCTTTTTAATACGGTTAATAAAAATGAAGCACCGTAGCAAAATAATATAATATGTATGAAATATACATATGAAATGCAACGCCCAAATAGTGTTATATGCTCACTGTGATCACTCAGCATTTTACAAAAGTTTTAAGAAATTTTATTAAATTAAAGAACTTAAAGCATGGCTAGAAGTGATAGTTTATTACTGGCTTGCTAAATATTATATTTCTTAACACATAATACAAGCAATAATGAATGGCAGTAATTCTTTCCTTTCTTCAATTGTCCACGAATGGACGACTTTAAGGCATTTTCACAGTTTTATCATTCTAACAGTTAGCCGTAATTCCGTCTGAGTAAAAACATAGGTAAATATAAATCTTTTAATTGCCGCATGGGCTTCGTCTGCCACTCGCGATAAAACTGATAACACTAACAATACTAACACTTAATTTTTTCTTGAAAAAGTAGCCTAACTTACTCATTATTACATCAGCTACCTGTCAATAAAAGTCCGTTCAGTCCGTCAGAGGTTTGCCGGAACGGCCAGGCGAAAATTGTAAAGAATGGTTATTTCTATATTACAAACACACTCTTTTATCTATATGTATATACCTTATAGATTATGAACTACTATTGTTTTTAAAAGGTCAGAATAATCTAAAACACAAAAATATCTGTAGACTTTATTGGGAGTATAAACAGAGAAACATTGGTTTTAAACTCTAGTTAGTTAACAGTACAGTTACAATACAAAATTTTGTCAATGTTTCGTTTGTAAATAGCTAGAGTACTAACTAATATATCCAAACAAAAATCTAAATAAATAACTTATAAAAAATTTAAAAAATAACTTATATAGAAAATAATTTTTAAAAGCCGCCCTAAAATGTACATAATTTTTGAAATCAATTAGGAAACTTTAAAATCTTAAGTTGGGCCAACACCTCTTGGATTTCGGACAACTTTTGAGATCTAAAAATAACTTAAAACGATATTTAAAAATATCGAACGTATTCTTGTTCTCAAGCTTAAGATTCTTATCTAATTCTTATAAATTAAAATTAAAACACAAAAATAATATATATTCCTAAAACAAGGAAACAATCTTGTTTGACAATTTCATTAATCACAGATGACAAACTAATAATCTATGGTTGTACTTTCACAAAACCGGTTTCCCTTTTTAAACTGTATTTTTTCATTTCATTCCTTCTATACAATTTAAAAATAAATACACCGAAAGAAAATAATTTCATCTCAACAGAAATATACAATATAGGTTCATAAAAAGATTTATTCACAAACAATTATTGTCTAACTACATGCATACATTAATACAATTTAGATAGACTAGATTGCAATATTTATTCCAATTAATATTTGTGTTCATTGTTATACATCAATGTGCGACTTTACCAACAATATTTTGAAAAGAAGAACTCCATTATTATCTTTTATAACCATTTAAAATATATAACTTAATGTTAGTTTATAATTGTACTTTAAACATTCAGTATATAATTTTACTTGGAGGTGCGGCTGTGTTTGAACTCATTGCTTGTTCAAGAGTGTCTAATCTTCTATAAGAATGTCCTCTACTGTTTCTACGGCGTCCTGTCTGTCTTCCTTCAACTATTAGCCCAAGTATCTGTAATTATAATAGATCATATATATAATAATGCTATTACATTATATGTGTCATCTATAAAATTTTATAGTGATGGAACATAATGGGTAATCATTGTTTCTTATAGATAGTAATCAAAATTGCTTTAGAAGTCATTACTAAATGTATGCCATGGAAGACACCATCACAGCACATTAAGTACATAATTCTGTCCTATTAGCTTTGTGGTTTAATAAAATAATTATACTAGCTAAATTATATTTTACTGTATAAATGTCACATTATAATAAATAAATGATGATTAATACCAATATACCAAAGTTTTTAAGAATGTATGGATGTTTGTTGCTCTTTCATACAGAAACTACTTAAATGATTTTGATGAAACTATGTATATTGAAATTCACCTTATATATCATAAAAAGACATAGCTCAAACGTAGACCTGTACAAAGTTGCAGAAAAAACTAGTATTATAATAATGAGATTCTAAGACTTTCTCGAGTATTCATTGAAATAAAACTAACATTTTCGGATTTACTACTCAACTTCAAATATTTTAACTACATACCTACTCCCGACGTTTTCGATACTTTGCAGCAACCGTGATCACAGTATGTAGTTAAAATAATTAAAAACGCGTAGTAAATTCGAAAATATACATATTTCTTGTATCTTAATACAGCCACGGGCAAAAGTATTAGGCACCCTACAGTAAGACAAGTTTTAGGGTGTTTTAGCATAGCGAGTGTAAATAAAACTGCATTTATGATTACAATGGTTTATTTAAAAAAAAAAATTGATATTTTGTAGGTCCACCTTTTGACTTAATAACCGCAGCCACTCTTTTTGGCATTGACTCTACCAGCCTGAAACATTCTTCTCTGGATATATTTTTCTATTCCTGCTGTAACGCGGCCAATAGAGCTTGTTTATTGCTAATCGAGTGCCTGCGGATATTTTTCTTTAAAATGGACCAAATATGCTCAATCGGGTTGAGGTCTGGTGATTGTGATGGCCAGTCCAAAAGATCAATATGATTTTCAGCAAACCACTTCATGGTATGCGCGGACTTGTGGCAAGTGGCGTTGTCTTGCTGAAATTTCTGGCCATCGGTGTTTGTATCACCGAAAATTTGCGTTATCGACGTTGCTAGTGCTGTTTCCAGAACTTCAGTGTATTTAACACTATTCATTCGTCCCTCACACAACACCATTTCGCCCACTCCGTCGGCAGCCATGCAGCCCCAGATCATTATTGAGCCTCCACCATGCTTAACAGTGGGAACCACACATTCTGGGTTGTATTCTTCGCTAACCTTTCGCCTAACATCAGTCACACCGGGTGTTCCAAACACCTATGCCAAACGAAAAAACCCATTTATTTTCAAAGTTATTATTTTTCTTGCAGTACGTTATTTTAAAAACATTTATGTGTTTTAATATTGTACATAAAATAAATAACAATACCTCAAAGTTAGATTCGTCTGACCACAGTATGTAGGACCAATCTTCCACTGATCAATCTCTATGTTTGAGTGCCCACTCCAACCGATTTTTCTTATCGTGTTCTGAGTGCCACGGCTTCTTCCTTGCTTTACATCCTTTTAATCCAGCTTTAAGAAGTCTTCTTCTCACAGTATAGACACTCACTGAGCTGCCTTTTGCCTCAGATAATGCTGCAGCGAGCTCTAAAGCAGTTTTTTTCCTGTTTTGTAGAGACTGCCTAATCAACAATCGATCTTCCCGTTCAGTAGTAAGTTTTCTTCTGCCTGTTCTTGGTCTATTTTCATGGGTGCCAGTCTCTTTGAAGCGATTTATAGCATATTGAACTGCACATCGCGAGCTCTTCACTTCTCGGGCTATTTTAACCTGAGACATGCCTTGTTCATGTAAAATCTTAATTCTTAGACGCTGTTCAGCACTAAGTTCAGATTTTTTCGGCATGATTAACACATTAAATGTTAGTCTTTAGAATTGTGATAGGAATAGTTGCGTAGAAGACGTGTATGTTCACTGCAAGCACTGATAACACACTATAACCCGAAACGCAAAAAAAGCAAATTCGAAGAAACACCGCTTAGGAGCACACCTGGATGTCATAAATATTTTCTTTTATCTTAATTTGGTTAAAAATTGCCGCTAATACAATAGCTAAACCATAAAACACACACTTGACCGCTATCTTATGAGATAGTGACTAACAATAGGGGTGCCTAATACTTTTGCACGCAGCTGTACATAATGATCGAATAATATTTATAAAACATTTTATTACAATTACATTAAAAATCTACTTATATGTTTTTCTAAAACCTTTTTAACTGTGGATTGTCTAAAATGAAGTATGGGAGGTAGGGGAGGTATGGGCAGTTAGGAGACATGGGCACCCCCTTTTTATTCTGATTTGATTACACGTTTAACTTTTTCCTTAATTTGGTAGTTTACTTTACCGACTGACAGCACTGTTCATGCATAGACTTTCTGTCATTTCTGTGAGTTGTCAACCACAAACACGTTTGAAGTTTATGCACTCGTAAAAGTAAATATTTTGTTTGGCACTCGGATCGTAATAAAGAGAAAACTAATGAAAGGTATGTGTATTTTCTATTATTTATCTATTGTATATTTTCTAATCTATAAATTAAACTAAAATTCAAGCCTAAATACCTAGATTCAAAAAAATACCGGTAACCTAAGTCGAACATGTATACAGAGGGAGCAATGGGCATTTGGCGCGCGGGTGGTTTGAGCATGCCCAATGCTTCCTCCTATTATGTTCAGTTTAGGAGGATTTTTAACATAGCTAGTGTCCCTTTAGACGACATCAAAACTTAATTGCCAATACCAAAGACATGCAATAAAACCAAACGTGGTAGCTCTAAGTACACATTTGATAGTCCTCTATGGGTTATACCCAATCTGAGATAAGTTAAGATACTATTTAAAATGTTTTTATATTTTGTAAACTTTATTTTTGGTTTCTGTTATTTTTATAGTTTAATAATAGTTTATTTGTTAACTAGTTTTTGAATTCCATTATGGATATAAAGTGATTTATAGGCTGTGCCCAAGCCTCAAACAGGGTATGCCCAAGTCTCCCTACCATAGGGATCATTGGGCACTTTTGACTTAGTTTATAAAATATCTCGTAATGTAAAAACTGATTGTATTTTTTAAGAAAGCTCGTTAATTATATCTAGTCAAATGTGTGGCGGAATAAGAATTGGCAATAAAAGTTGATTATTTATAAAATCTGATTTTTTTATGCAATAAATAGTGTAAAAGTGCCAATCCCTCCCCAACCTCCCCTGTAATAAAGGCTCCTTTAAGTATGTATTTGTATCTTATTTTTCTATTGTACATATTTATCATAATTATTTCCTAACTTCATGTTGCAATAAAAAGTGATTTTAATGTTTAGAACTGATTACACTTAAATATTGATAAAAATATGATAAGAAATGAGTAATTATAATTTAAGTGCAAAAACATGTCACGACAACATTTTTATACTAAAGATATAAAAAATATATATATTTATTGTAGAATATACGTACCACTTTAGTAAATTTGGTTTTATTGTGATATAATATATACAGGAGTACTACAAATATGATGGCTGTCAAGAAGAATGGGAAGAAGTGGTCGTCTTCCTCAGAGAATGAGTCTTGAATCGGGTTCGGGAACATTCCTGATTCTGAAATTTTAAATTAATAATAATAATTACTACCTGAATATAATACAATTTATAATAAAACTTCATAGTATTATATAAAGTTCTTGTTATATTTTTTTATATGATATATACATTAATTTAAGATACATTACCAAATATTAGTTATTATACATTCAGGGTTAACACTTGTACAAACATTTGATGTAAGGCCGTTCTAACAACATTAATTTTAAGATATTCATGCTTTAATTAAAAATTAATTATATCTGTCTCTTTGTAAGGCTTTCACAAAATCAATTAATATATACATATGTATATATTGTACTAGTAAATGCTTTGAGGAAACTTGTTAGATTGTCAAAAAACCAGGCTATTTCTCCGAGATTCTCATACAACTGTTTGTAGCCAGAATAATCTAAATTACTTTTTAGTTTTCAATTTATAATAAACTCCAAACAAGTAAATACATTGACAGAAACTATGTACAATTAATATGACTAGTAATAATATTAAAATTAATTCATACAAAGCAATGAAATTAATTTAAATTGTTACTAATTGATTTTACAAGTAAGAAGTGATAAAACAAATTACACAAGAAATCACTACCATGATAAGATTCTAATATATAATTTTAATTTATCCTTGCTTATTCTAAGCAAATAATAATAATAATTGGCACAATTTAAGATCTTGATATGTAATTATAACATTAATTTGGTAGAACTAATTAACAAAAATATATAGATATGCTATTACTATACAGTAAAAATAAAATATATCATATATAATATGTTTATTGTTATTTTTTGTTTTAACTAAGAGTAATAGTCGTCCTATAACTGTTATTAGGTCCAAAATGGATGTATTTATGCATTCAGGATTTTTTTTACAAAAGACATTTATGTATTTGAAATAATACTAATATATTGAATTGAGCAAAAGCTAAAAGATGTTTATGTAATTTTTCTATTAGCATCATATCCTAAATGCTATCCAATAATCCTAAATCCTTTCCCAGAAGATCTATATTCAATAGAAAACCTGTTGAATCTCCTTGAATTTAGTAACCATTTTTAAAATAAAATAATTTAAGTTTTCAAAGCATAATAAATTAAATTCATATTACTTCCATAGAAAAACTTGCATACAAATTTTAATCAAACTGGACAAGCCAAATAAGTCATATAAGCCTAAATTATACATTCACATTGCTGTTAAAACTTGATTATATCTTTAAGAGAACCATAAACAAAAAAAATCTGTTTTAATCATACTCAATCAATACATACCTCTTTGTATCTCATCTTGCTGTAAAGATGTTATAGATTCAATTTTTTTCTCAACAACTTTTGGTTTCTCAACTTCAAGCTTGGGATCTGATTCAGCTACTTGTTCATTTCCATTCTCACCCTCTTGGTCTGACATAGGGTCGTCATCTAAATCTGAAAAGTTTAGGGTTGTCACCTTATATAAATTGAGCAATAAAATCTATGGTAACACAATATATGTATGTAAATAAGGATTATATTGCAGTAGCTAAGTTCATAAATATAGCTTTAAATAAATATGTTAAAAACCTATAGTAGGATCTATTGTTTTTTACTGAACAAAGATCATAGCATTTACAATTCAAATTGATTAATCTATGTATCTCATGTTAAGTATTTGTAACAGATAATATAAATTTAAGGATAAAAAATGTACCACTGTTTGAGGAGATTCAAAGAATAATGTTAGATTTTAATGGGGACACATTTAAAAAACAACTATGATTCATTTTAAAACGTTATATATTCCAATGTTTTGTTCTTATTTAACCATAGTTTTTCTTTTCAACATGCATCTATAGCAGTTCATGAGAAAATTAAGAAATGACAAGACACAAGACTAACAGATAGACACTCCTCATGTCGACCTGTTACTATAATTGCAGTAAAGTAACCAAAACATCAGGCAAAATGTATTATCCTACTAAAATTATAATTGCGAAAGTTTGTGAGTGTGTGTGTGTATGTTTGTTACTATTTCACGCTCAAACAGCTGAACCAATATTGATAAAATTTTGTATACAGGAAACTGACGTCCAGGAATAACACATAGGCTACTTTACATCCCGGAAATCTCGGAAATCCGCGGGTAGCACCGCGGGGCGCAGCTAGTATTATAATAAGTTACAAAAATAATATGTAATGAGCATAATTCTTATAACAAAGATTTTTTAAACAACTTTAGTTTATTAACAGTGAAATTATTGTGTAATATTTAGAAATTGTACTGTAATTAGTACATTACCAGGATCATTGCCGAATTCATTTTCTGCATCATCATCTAATTCATTTTGTTTAACACTTTCAACATTAGGTTTAACATCTTTTACTTGTTCTGGTATTGGAGGTTCAATTTTATCTAGTAATTCCTTTTTGGGTGGTTCTTCGGCAACTGCCAATGGTTTCTCGGATTCTGGTTTAACAGATGGTTGTATTTGCGATGATGTTTTATGAACATCATTTTCAACCACATTGGATTCCGAAGCCTTATTCGAAGATTGTGCACTCATTTCGTTTTCTGGACTTTTCTTCTCTGAAGCTAATAAATTTGTTTCAGCTATTTTTTGATTATCATTAGTCTTAGAAGTTGTGACATTTTCAACTTTTAAAGTTGTAGAAACAGTTTTATTTTGTGTAGAATTCTGAGTAGTTGGTTCAGATATGATTTCATGTTGAGCTTTTGGTGTGGTCTCTAGGGTATTCAACAATTCAGTGCCCCATTGGAAAAATTTACAATAAAAGTTTGAGTCTACATCCAAAACACTATCCACACTACATAATTTAATGCATGTTGTCTTCTGGTTAAAAACTCTCTCAAGCTTTAGTTTATACTGTGTGTAGTTTCCAAGGTGGAGAAACTTCCAGGAGTCGGTATGATCACATAATGTTTGCACATCTTCAATATTTTCTATTCTTTTAGTATAATTCTCTTTTATATCGAAGTCAGGTGGAAAGCTTTCAGAGCACATGCGTGTACTTATTTCATAAAACATAATACACTCCAGCTCAGTCTTACTGAAAGCTGGTACAGGAGCATTGCAATGTTCCACATTTTTTCTTGTTAAATCAGCAAGGAACTTGTTTTGACAACCATTTGCGACTGTCGTTAGTGGTAAAGCCATTAAAACATTACTTGAATTTGGTAAGATAGGATATCCTGAGCTACAGTAATATGTATTCACTAAAATTAAAGAAACAATATACCGAAACATATTTGTGAGATAAAGGTTCTGAATAATAAAATGTTGAGAATCAATTCAGCTATTGCTAACACGCTGCAACAGCAAACAATAACGGTACACTTCGAATGTTATTCAATATCTTCTCTGTTGTCTATTAAAATCTGTGACAAGTGAAGGTTTTTACAATTTGATTTTGACGTAGCGTCAATATTAAGCGCAATGCCTTAGACGTCAGGAATTCAAGTTAAAATATTGAAAATATATTAGGTCCAACCCGATAATTTTCAAAATTATTAATTAAAATAATATAATTTCAATAATCTAAAACATTTTGTACTATTCATGAAATGAAAATTATTGTATCTATTATAAAAGAACACGTAAAAATATATTTAAAAAAGATATATAAATTTCGTAATCTTATTTAAAATAAATCTATAATTGAGGTAGAAACCTGATGAAGTTTCAATTTCAGTGAATGTGTTTGTACACGATTATATTTGTAATTATACAATTAAAGAGAAAAAGTATATTGAATAAAATATAACTCTTTTTTGCTCTGTTTCGACATCACATATAAAAACATTTTCAAAATTGATTCAAATTTTAAAACAAAGAGAACGTTTAAATTAAAAAAAACTGTTCAATAATGTTCAAAAATGCTTAGTTACATCATAGTGTGAAAAAAAAGATTAATTACTATTGGGCTACCGACCCATCAAAGTCTACTCGAAATCTGTAAAATTTGATCTCAGTCAATTTCATCGTGAATGTTGGCGATCGTATAAAAGGATCTGATAGCGATGTATGCCAGGACATTTAAATGTGTTGTTGTCTTGTAATGTCAAGTCTTCGTTTATCTTCCTTATTTCATTTTGATTGATTCACTATCTTCACATTAGGTATGGAAAGTACGAATTGAATACTCAAGTTTTCACATCGGTTGCACTTCCAAAGCACACCATATCTACTAACATTAAAAGATTGCCTTGTAATGTTTTTTATGTTCTACACAACCTAAAGACCAGTAAGCCACGCTTGTTTTTGTTTTGAAGGAGACGAATGTTTTGTGTCCTTCACACACGGGCTACTTACGTTACCTTAGTTATATTCTCATATATAACTTTCTCAATGGAGCCGGATATATTCACAATGACTTGTATGACGAGCGACTCTGTCACCTCTTTAAGCCCCAGTTTTCTCCCATCTGCACACTGGTGGATACAAGAGTAAACGAAATAGTTTATCCGGCGTCTACCAAACGCATAGCGGTGACTAAGAGACAACACGCTTACACGCTTATTTGAAGATCTCAGTGAGGCTGCTGATGTGGCTCTACTTTGATAACCTTTTGCACAGCAGATCTTTCTTGGAGATATTTAGACCCACTATTTTTGAAGCTGCAAGGATGCTTTACGTGAATGAACTCACAGCCAATTGCCTGTATTTTCTGCTGACAACAAATCCAAATAAATACTTCATCAAAATATCATACCGTCCTCATATGAAAAAGAAATGGAGGAATTAAATTGTTTAGCGCCATTGAATGTCTCCTTGTTTAATTTGGTACGTTTAAAATTATGTATTTTTATTAAGTATTAAGTTGTGATTCATCTAAACTCTAAAGAATGAAATAGAGTTGGTGAGAAAATTACATTATATTGTTTTTAGTAATTAATGTATATTATTCTATATTGGGTTTCTTATTATTTTTATATTTGTGATAAAAAGGAAGTACCTTATGATTTATACCTATAGGTAAATAATTCAAACAATATTTTCCAACAGAATATTACTAGTTCTTCAGCACGTTTTTTCTTCTTATAAATGTCCTTAACCATGCTCTTAGTACTTTATTTTTTTCATCAACTCTCAAAACCAATATGTGATTGTTCAAAAACCATTTTTAAATTAAAACTTACAATTTAATCAATTGATCACAATACTTCACAGAAGAGGCTTCGTGGACGATTGCTTTCCTGATTATTAAAAACACTTCACTACCTTTTTTTTGTAAAAATATTTTCTCCTTTTAAATAACTTTTACTCTGACCATTGTCGTTATGATAATAAACAACTTAATTATTAATTTAAGAAGCTAATAGCTAATGGCTAAACAATTTTATTAGTTAATATTTTTTTTACCCCAGGTTGAAGCTGAAGAATTAGTTTTAATATCGTTTTTTTAAATATTCTTAATACCTTTATATTCTTGTGTTTAAACGATTACATTTTATAAAATTTTCACATTACTCTCAGGATTGGTTTAATAAAATGAAAAGTACAATTTATGTCGAACATAAAACGTTTATTGAAGTTCAATATGCACTTTCTTTCTTTGCAGAGCCTGAATGGGTTCCCTTTCCTATCATCATTATTATTAATGACTGCATTTGCATTTAAAATTCAAAAAGGAAATTGTATTTCTTGAGAAAATTCAAACATAATTAATAAAAACTATTTTAATTTATCACTACTAAAATAAATTTTACTTCTATGTATACAGCTAGGTTTATACATATAATAGGTCGGGATGTCTTTGATTTTCATAAAAATTTTGCCCTTTCCCTTTTCCCACCCTTTCCTTTCCCTCCCTTTCCCACCTTTTACTCCCCATTTTCAGCAATCAAAGGCGGCAACTCATCTGCATATCTACGTTGCAGATGTCAATGGGCGACGGTAACTACCTACCATCAAGTAGGCCGTCTGCTCGGTTGCCACCTTTCCCATAAAAAAATATAAATAAATAATTTTAAGGGTAACCGAGAGAAGGAAGTAATTCTAGAAAGAAAATGGTTTTTAGTTGCCATTTAATTTTATAGACAATAAATCTACCATTTGTTACAAATGACTTGTGTTATAAACTGAAATTCTTCTTATTCAGTACGGGTCATTATTGCCAATAGTTTAAAACAAACAATTCTGACATCGATGACTATATATATATATATATAATAGAGTAATTAAATATTTTCCTTCAATTTTAACACATATTAGGAGAGAAAATTTTTATTCGACAGCAAAGTATATTCTGGAAATAAAAAAAAAATTCAAAAATATAAAATAATTCAGTCTTAATAAACTTTAGACATATTTTTTCAACTTTGCCTGATATAAGTGGTTAAAATATTTTTTTTTATTTTAAAGGGAAACAAAATATGTCTAGCACCATGGAATATATAGGTGCGTTTAGCTAATTCGTTTGTAAATTTTCTGATTTGCATAATGAATTTCCTTGATCAGTTAAACTAGCTTACTAAAATTATTAAACAATAGATACAACTATGAAGAAGTGAATTTCTCTAACAATTATAGTATATTTTCCTCCGGTAAAATCAATCCCTCCTAATATTTTAAATTCGAAAGTAACTATTTGTCTGTATGTTACCATTTCAAGCCTAAACCACTGAACCTATTTTAATGAAATTTGGTACAAAGAGAGAGTTGCCCTTGAGAAAGAACATAGGATAGTTTTTAATCCAGATTTTTGAAAAGTTCTCTTGGAAACGCGATATAACCGAGCTCCACGCGGGCGAAGCTGCGGGCGGAAAGCTAGTAATTAATAAATAACATTGTTTTAAAGGACTTTATACGAGTATGTTTATCTATTAAAGTCTAAAATTAATAACGCCGTGAACCCTACATTATGAACAGGATATTAAATTTTTTATGTAAAGACTAACAAGCAAATTAATTTTAATATTGTATAGGAAATAATTTAGAATTTTATATATGTATTAGCAGCGATTTGTATCATGTTGACTTACCGCTCTAAGCTTACACATCTCAAGGATGTTGTTTTATCTGAAACTTTTGTTTAATTGATATTATGTACATAAATCTTAATAAGATGCTTTTAAATAGTATGTAAAATGTGATAAATCTTAAAAGTCTCCTGTCAAATAGATTTTTCCCGTCGTTAATTGAATTGAAGTTATTGAGATAGATACCATAGAAAAATATACAGTAATCACATTTTCCTTAAACTATATGTTATTCTCTCTGTTGTGTTATAAAAGTCTTATAGTAAAACTTCACGTCACTTTAACCATCTCACATAGAGTTTTAAGCAACGTTTATTTCTTTAAAATAAAGTTTAAACCCTTGAAAAACCTTATTTTTATAAAACGACTAACAGGCACGTCAATTTTATTTGAACGTTTATATATATTGTAACATTTATGATGTATATAAAAATACGTAAATAAAAAGAGATGTGTGCGAAAGTGGTGTATTTATTCTACGTTTGTTGGCTTCCGCGTGTATACGATATCTTAACATCCATTTTCAAGAAATCAGGAAAGTTAATTAACCGTACTCTATCTGTAGAAGATTATGTTTCCATTTCGGTATTCAATGAAATCTTGAAATATAAATGTATTAAAAATAAAACAATAATATACTCAGTCTCTATATTCTTTCTATCTCTCTTTTTCTTTTGGATATGAGGTACTGAAGGATGTAAATAGAACTATTTAAAATTGTTTCATAATAGATCTGATCTCAAAAACTAAACGTTTGAAGTTATGGTTAGCAAACAAAAAAATATATACTCAACTAAATACATTACCTGTTACTATCACCTATTTTAACATTACATTTCAGTCAAGAGGAATTTACTTGGTATTCATGCCGTAATATCAAAAAGGCACTATGTCGAGCAAAGTGGGCCCTTTTTCTTTACAATTAGTCCTAAATCCATTGGGGTAATTGTTACCCCTTAATTTGTTTTTCGTTTTCTACGACGCATGCATTGTAATTCAAATATATTGATACTTAGACGCACGTGATTGAGATTTTCCATCCCTTAAGATTACGTGAAGTACGATTGTTAACTATTAACTAGTATACTTATTTGACATGGTCTTTCGATAAGTTTACCTTTGAGATCATTAATTTAAAACAGTTTTGGTTAACTTTTCTATTTACAGATTCAAATA